TATATATATATATATATATATATATATAAGAGTTCAAATGAGAATACATTCATTTTATGAAAACGCGATAACACATTTTCACTATAGATAATCACATGTGATACTATTATTCCATCACATATGATATACATCTGATACTAAATTAGAGACAAGAGCGATTTTCAATACGATCTTGATTGCGGGTCAAGTCGCTCTTACACCATTAAGCTTTCTCACAACTATTTATCACATATGATAAAAGTGTTGTTGATATGATATTATAATCAATCAATAGCATCACATGTGATGTTAAATCATAGACGCAAACAACCTTTGACGCAGCTTAAGTCGTAGAATACGTCGTCTACACATCACAGGGTCCCCTCACGCGTCTTAGCACATGTAAGGGTATTCTCACGTCCTTATAAAATGAAAGTGTTCTCGTTTGAAATTCCATATATATACATATATATTATGATTTTATATATGTATAAAAACTTATATAATCAACATATTGTAAAACATACACGTCAAATATTTGTGTAATTGTCTTTTGTTTAAGAGGACTTCTTATATCCAATTTTTTTTTATTACATTGCATAACTGAAATAACGGAGAATATATGTTAAGAACAAAAATGAGCTATGTAAGATCCCGCATTGGTTGGGAGGGAAACAAAAGTTGTTTTATAAAAGACTTGATACTTCATCTATCAATAGCATTTTAAAACCGTAAGTTCAAGTGTGAGACAAAGTGGACAACATCAGGTACGGTTAACCTGAGATGTTACAGATGATATCAGAGCTAGACTGGTGTCTCAATGAGGATGTTGAGCTCCAAACGGAGGTGGATTGTGAGATCCCACATTGATTGCGGAGGGAAAAAAAATTGTTTTATAAGGGACTTGATTACAAGAGCATTTGTTTTCTATTTTGTTATTTTAGAGGAAACTACAAATTTGGTCTATGTGGTTTGTTGAAAATAAAACCTTTTTCGTTTCTATAATTTTCAAAAATAACACTTTTCATTTCTACAGTTTTGAAATTATAAAATGGCCATCGTGGTATGTAAAAAGATCCGGATTTGATCCTTCCCTCTTTCGGCCGTTAAAAAATTATGTTAAACGAAGGTCATTTTCGTCATTTTATCTATTTTTTTTTGTCTTTTACTCAATCAAAATTTGATTTTATAATTTTGATCTTGGTGGTTTTTATTGGATAAAAGACAAAAGAAATCGATAAAATGACGAAAATATCCCTTATTTGATAGAATTTTTCAATGGTCGTTCAAAAAAGAAATCAAATCCGAATATTTTTATTAATTACGATGACCATCTCATAATTTTAAAACCATAAAAATTAAAAATGTTATTTTCGACAAACCACAAATACAAAATTTGTAAATTCTAGTTTACTCTTTATTTTTGGTATTATATTACTTTTAATGGTTTTATGTCGGTTTTGGGGTTTTGAACTTTGTTTTGATGAGTCAAAATCAATCCTCGTCGATTTACGTGAAAGGTCTTTTTGATTTATGGACCGGAAGGAAAAGTGTATTTAAAGGGTTGTTTGTTTACTTTTTAATAATTTTATTAAAATGTAATTTTTTAATTGTTAAGAGGTGAATTTTGTTTGACAAAAAAAAAATATATGTTTCTTAATGATTCTAAAACCCTTTCAATGATGTTGTATCTTGGATCTCCCTTAACCATTAAAAGCCTTAATTTCATTGTACAGAATTACCAAACAATTATATGTCATTTTGCACTATATCATGAGAGCATCTTAATCATTCTGACCACTTAATCATTCTGCACCAAACCATTCAACAATTGCCAAACAACCCTAAATAGATGTCTTTGAACAAAATCTATTCGAGCCAAAGATGAATAATCGTGAGTTATTACAAGAAGTATAAGAAAAAATCTGGACCCTTAATTACTTTTAATTTCATCTCTACCTTATGAATTGTATTTCTTATGGAAATTGATCTGGTGCATTTCATTAGTGTTGATTTTGAATATGATTGATTTAAAGGTGGAGATCCTTTAATTATCATAACTTTCGTTCTCATCGAAACTCAATTATTGAATTAAATCAGTATATTTAAAATAGAGTAAAAGACACCATTGGTGCCTATGGTTTGATAAAAAATTTGATTTGGTCACTTAAACGAATTGTCCAAATCGAAGGTCCCTATCTTTTATTTTTCTTGCATCCATATTCCCTTAACACGTTAACAGGATTCCTTTAATTAGAGGTATGTTGTCCATCTCCAAGAACTCGGTCCAACAAGGGTGTATGGAGTTTGAGTTCGGCGGTTTCAAGCATTTAAACAATTTAATCCAATTACGATGATTTGAAAAAAAATCTCAAACCGTTATGGGTTGGGTTGGTACATTGTCATGATTCCTTTAAATAAGTATATGTCTTCAAATTCTGATCACTTGTAAGTATTGTCCATTTTTCGCTTTAATCATATATATATAACAAATAAGTAATATTGAATTACTGAAATACAAATTGTGCTTGCGAAAAATGAAAATATGTTTACACACCAACACGAATATATGTCGTCTTCACCCAACCAAGGGGCAAGGAGTTAGGGGTATATATGTACATATCAGTAAAACTATATATTGCTTAATTTCACACGTTTGTATTGATAACTTAATCCTTTATATAAATTAAAAAAAATCAAAATTACATATTAGTGGTGGAGTTAAAGTCTGATACAATTTTAACCTTATTAATTGACGGGTTGACGGTTTAATGGGTTGGTGAATTTGATTGTTTACGGGTTGGGTTGGACGGTTTGAACGGGTTCCCGGTTATGTTGTACAATCCTATGGCCCATAGATCTACGAAGAAATGAAAAACCAACATGAAATTCAAACGCATCCTAAAAGCAAAAGTTGTAAACCCGTTTACAATCCAAATCAACCTCTGTATCTAACATATAAATCTGTTTAGTTTATTCAACAACTTAGAGATTGTTCACTTGCGACTTAATTAGGTTTATTGGTCTATCTGGCTTATTCACACAGCTCATCAATAGTTTAGATGGCTGAATATCACAAGGAAAAACCACATGTTGGGATATTGGATTTACAAAAGCCAGATATTCCATAGACTTCAATTTTTGTTTCTAATCGAGATCCAATCTTCATTAGAAATTGAACCCAAATTCAACGATCACCTTGACGATCTAGAAACAAAATAGCAATCGATTGTCATAGAAAATCAAAATCTATTGAGTCGAACCCCATTCTTCCGTCATCATAGTCTTCGTGAAGATGTCAAAGCGAAAATCAGAACTTGTTATCAAGATGACAAAATGAAAATCAAAACTCATCTTCATTGAACGATATAAAAGATCTATTCGATGCCCAGAACAGATCGGGGATCGGCTACAATGCGTATTTCACGAGCATTTTCTCTCAAGCGGGTTTTTTCTCCACAGGGTTTGAAGGGCGTGTTTCACAAGGATAAGGGCATTCATGGAAATTTAGTGATGAACGTATCCGACACCTATATTTTGACTTAGTGAATAAGCCACTTTCTTGCCTAATAATCCACAATTGAACACCCACGTATAGCTTCCCGAATAAGCCATACAAGCTATTAAGCCGTTACCAAAAACTAAATCTTTATCAATCAGCCCATTAAATTGTTACCAAATGGCCACAATTTTATCGAACAAAAAATCCATAAAACTAACAATAAAACATTGTACAAATACACATCACAATATTATACAACCACAATTCAACACCTCACTTACTTGCCACCGTTTCACTTCCGGCCACCGCCCGCCACCGCAGTTCCCTGAAACAGACCATCGATCCGAGCCTCCACGTCTTCGATCGCGAACTTAACATGTTTATCTGCATATTTCCCAATATCTTGAAGATTATGAAACCTCCCAAGAAAATTTCTATAAGCAGGAACCACATTTCCAGCTACCGAACCCTTCAATTCATCTCTCAATTGTTCATCGACTATGACCCATGTCGATTGAGTTCTAAAGATCTCTTCGAATTGGGAATTGAGCTGTTTCAGCTTCTCTTTCAAAGATCTTGAAGCAAGATTCGAAGATAAGTTACTGTTATCGAGCTTCAAAGTGTTGAGAATCTTGTGCCATGAGGTGCGTTGGTAATTTAGATGATGTTGTCGAACTTTTGCGGCTTGTTTTCGGATCCAATCGTCACCGAGAAGAGAACCTAATTCGTCGTTTTTAGCTTTCTTGACGATATACCGGCCATTGTTCATCATGAAGACAGATGATAACGCTGGATCTCTGTAAATCTTGGATTTTGATTCTAAATTGGTTTCTAAAACCTCCATGATCCAAGAAATTTGAAGTGATAATGGAGATGATGATGATGATAAAGATGGATCGAGATTGTCGTCGAAAACTTGTTCTAGTGTTGGTCGGGAACAAGCCGCTCGGAGGTAATTCATGACATAACGGGTGATCGGGTGAAGACCACCGCCGGGGACGGCGGATTTGGCTGGATCACGGCGGATTAGATTCTCTAGTTCCATGAAAATGCCTCTAATGGATTCAGCTAATCTCTTCCAGACTCCTATGGCTTCGTTTCTTAAGAACAAACAATATTGATCGGAAAATAATACCTCGAATTCCGGCGATAGATCTTTCACGGCTTCGTATACATCGAGAATTTTGAACAACCTCTCCGGCGCTCTGCTCCCCATCGCGATTCCGTTAGCAAAATTTAGCAGCTCCATGGTGGAAACCATACATATATCCATGAATGAGAGATCGGCAGCGGCGGCGGTGGCGGAGGAGTAACCGAAGACGCGATCGCATAGACGTCGCTCGCTTGGGTAAAAAACTCGAACCGCCATGTTAATTACTTTAATCCACTTCTCGATTTCGACATCGTTGTCATCGTCTTCAAGAGCTTTACTCGAATTTTGTAACCCTAAAAACCCTAATCTAGAGAGGCTCTCTTCTAAGAAATCCCTCCGGCAGGTACTATAAGCAAGCGAGCACTCTTTCCCGTAGCCGGCGGCCACCATCCTCTTCGAGATCTCGTGTAGATCGTTGATTGTACCAGACGGAAGCGCGTCGATCGTGATGTTGTAATCCGATACCAGATGCGCTACCGGAATATCTACATCATCGAATCCGTCATCTTCTTCGTCATCGGAATCTGAATAACCCCCAACACCACCACCGGCGACGTTATCGGAAGATTCAGCGCCACCACGTTCGATTAGCAGCTTAAACTCCTCCTCAAGCCGAAACATACACTGCTGAAGCAAATCCTCAGCTCTATCAAGACAAGACGTAACAGCTTTGTTGTCGGCCATGGCATTCCACTCACGAATCACGGAAACTAGTTCGTCGACGGCGTCAAGGAACGATGAAGCGTCAGCAGAATCAGACCATATAGGCTGGTCAACGGTGATGAATCTGGAGATTCTCCGGTCAAGGGTTTTTAGAGTCTGATCTAGTGCAGCTCCCCCGTCGTTGCCGGAAATGTTTTCATTGAGCTTTTCCCTCAATCTTCCATCAAAGTTGGAGAAAATTTGCAGTATATCATCTGTCATGGCGTTATCGGTATGACCCAGTGTTTTTGCTATGTGACGGGCCACCGCAATGAGCTTCTCTTCGCCATTTTCCGCCATGATTAAGAACTGGGTTTCAACTGTGAAGCATAAAATCTTGGATTTTTATGTGATTGTGGTGGGATTGATATGACTTTTTGTAGTTGCAGAAACGAAGAAATTTCAGGGAAAAACGCGGATGAAAACAGTGAACGATTTGCTGTGGGGTAGGGAAAGGAGGCAGGAAGAAGACCAAGGTTGAATTTGAAGGGCAAATTAGTCTTTTATTTCCTAAATTGATTCACATAATCTTTATATCAACTTTTTATTCTCTATTCGTGATTCATATTTCTAAAATTAATGTTTTGTAATATTTTAGGGTTGTAGTAATTTTTTATTTTGAAATCAAACATATTATTGAGAAAAGTCGTTTCGTGTTTTGCCAACTGAGCTACATGTTCGAAGATAAAAATGCAGCATATTATTAAAACATTAAAATGGTCAAATAACACAGCTAAAAAAAGTCTAGCAGTATCGTAGTCTTTGACCTCTTAAGAAGTCAGAAGTTCAAACCTCACCAAAAGTGAGGAGGGTGTAAGTTTATTTGTTACATTTGTCGTATATAGATATTATATATTTCAAAAAAAAAATATTAACTATTAAAAAAAATATCAGTAACTTATTTTTATTAGACGACCATATTATATCAAATGTTTTATTTATATTGAAATAAAATATGAATATGAACCTTAATTATGGGGATCATGTGTTGATGGCCAGATAATACACATAATAAATGTCTAATTATGTATTAAATTTGTTATTTTGCATTTTTAAAACATTAATTCGCATAATTAAAAACAAATGTGTATTATTGAAAAACCAACTTATTGTTGGCAAAAATTATTCAATATAAATATTAAGTGTTATAGTTTATGATATTTGTAGAGCGTCGTTATTTCAAACGCATTAAAGGTAAAGTTGAACCATAACTTTATGAAACAAGGCACCAAAGCAGTCAAAATACATCCACAAACAAAGCAAAAACAATCAGCTTTACAACTAAAAATAAAAATGGTAAATAAATTATATTATTATTAAATAATTAAAAAAAATTAACCAAATTCAGTTTTTAATATTTTTTTAATTGAATTTTTATTTTAGATTGATTTTATGCAAATATGTTAAGTATTTGTGTTAACTTGATTTTCAGATTAAAAAAGAAAAAAATATATATTTAAATAAATTTGAGCAAAAATTTAATTTGAAAATACGTTTTAAGCACTAAAATTTAATTTAATTTGATTTTTTATAAAAAAAAATCTATTGGATATGTTTTGATATTATACATCTTTTTGTAGTTTATTGGATGATATATTTTCAATTTTAAATTTAATTAGGTTGTCACAACTTGAACTTTCTTTTATTAATCTGGATATTCAACCCGCTATTTGAGCCGACTAATCTCAGGACGACCACATGCTGTGCAGATAGCCCGGAGTCACCGCATTTGAGCATCCGTGGCCACAAGGGGATTTTTATTCCTCATTGGATTTGAACCTGAGACGTCCTGGTACTTTTGACATTTGTAGCCAAGCTCAAATCAATCAGACACCACTCTTATGGTTCACAACTTGAACTTTAACCATTTATACAAAAGGATTGAGTTTCAAATAAGAAAGAGAGTTAAGATGAAAATGGAGAAAAATGATCTTCATCCTTAAATGCACATTAGAATGAGATGCACCATGATGAGATGTACCAAGATGCATCAAATCAGTCCTCGTATCACGCACGATTCATGAATGGGTTTAAAATTAAAGATGATCAATAGTTCAGATCTTTTATTATACTTCTCACCTTAACTCTTCTTTCTTGTTTTTCTTTTTTTAACCACAAAGGTGATGTCTGATTGGTTTGAGCTTCGCTCCAAATATCAAAAGTACCAAGAGGTCTCAGGTTCAAATTCAATGAGAAATAAAAATCCCCATTGTGGCCACAGAGGTTCAAATGTGGTGATTCCGGGCTATTTGCAAAGCATGTAGTCGTCCTAAGATTAGTCGGTTCGCATAGCGGGTTGGATATCTAGGTTAATAAAAAAATGTTTGTTTTTGTAGGAATGGGAAATTGAAGTTTACTTTTGGTCTTCAAAATATCACTTTTAGCATTGAAATGGACCACATTTCAAAGGGAAAATCCCTTTCATTGAAAATTTCTCCATTATAGACCAAATATGAATACTGCAAATAAATATATATATATATATATATATATATATTTAATGTTGTCAAACTACTTTAATGGGAAAAAATATCTACAATCAAGTTGGTGTTTTGAAACATATATTACCATCATAAATCCTCATTTGAATGGCTACTACTTCATGTTGAAAAAATTACAATTTTGCCCCAATGTTATGTTGACAATTATAACTATACTAAGGGACCGTTTAACCAATTGTTTACCCGATAAGCGCTTACCGATAGAAGTTAACATTATGATTTATTTTGATGCACAAGATTTTAGTATATCAAAACATATCGAATGCAACAATTTACTGGGTAAGAGTCGTCATCCTCACTTACCGGGTAAGACTTTCCATCATTCTTATCGCTCTTATCCGGTAAGATTTTTTGCTCTTCTCATGTTCATCCGATGAGGAAATTTATCTGGTAAGCACTTACCAAGTAAATGTTTAGTAAACGACCCCTAACCCTCTAATGTATTTATTACATTATGGGTTCTTGTAACTAATATGTTAATCTAAGGCAGCGGTGTCAAAAATAACTGAAACTAAATAACCCATTTAAACCGAATGCAATTTAGGTTGAACGGTTTTGAGTTACTCAGTTTTTGAATTGAACGGTTCGGTTAACCGAATGAGAATCCTTATTCGGTCTGGTTCTCGATTAATTTTTCTTAATTCGGTTAAACTGAATTAACTGAAAAACACATTTGAATTATATTTTATATTATTAAACAAATAAAGCTAAATACATGTTATGCTGTTATTATTTTACATATTTTTTTTGTTATGTGATGTTTTTAATTGAGGATATATATATATATATATATATATATATTTTGTTATATTATGTTTTTTACTTGATGTTATTCATAGCATGGAGAAAATAATGTCTTTTAATAGATAATGATTTTTTTGGTTGGTGATGCTTTTTACCGGCTATCAAACCGAATAAGCCGAAACCGATTAAATCAACCTTATTTAGTTTGGTTATCGTTTAGTTTTAAAAATGTTAAAAATCGATTAACCCAAATTGAATAAATCAAAAACCGATTTAACCGCCCAAATAACACCCCTCTAAGCTTCTTTAAACCCTTCATGGTGCCACTCACCTGAATGGATTTTTTTTTTGTCTTGTTGATCCTAAATTTTCTCAGTGATTTGATGATAACCTCTTGTACTTAGTGATTAATTTACTATTTTAAGTTCTAACTGAAAACACAACCAACGACTTTTGGTGATAACCTCCAGTACTTAGTGATTAATTTGTCTCTTTAAATTCTAAATGAAAACACAACCAGTGACATTTAGCCATCCTTCATTTTGTAATAGACACAACTTCGCTAACAGTAAAAGACTTTTAAGTAGTTGTTAAGACAACTAATTTTCAGCTATTAAATTAAATTAGAAATCTTCCAAAGGTCTTTCCAAGAGCCACCAAGTTTGTCATTTAGCCATCCTTCATTTTATGCACACGGTTTCTTCCACCAGCTCACTACTACATAAATGTTGCAGCATGAGATCTGCTACACCAAGCCTGTCCATAAATTCATATTAGCCTACCAAAGAGTAAAAACAGGTAAATCATTATTTCTAACTTCAAAAACAGATAAACGAAAGATAAGGAAACAAAATGACTCGATATTGGGATTTAAAGGGAAAATAATCTATCTGAGTGAGAGAAAATAGTGTTTTAGCACTAAATAATTAGTGTGTATCATGCACCATCTCCTCAACCGTCACTAGTCTAGCTTCAGTCTCACCACCATCCCTCACCATCTTCCTCTCTTTCAATCAACCTCCAAAATGTGAGGCAACTGACGTCTTCAGAAAAAGGAGATCACAAGAGGGAAAGAAAGCCATAACTTTGAGAGGGTTATAGTGTTGGTTCAGCAAAAAGGCAACAAACGTTGTTGGTTTTCGTTCATATTCTTCAAAAATGAAACCACCCTTTCTGTGTTACCCTCGCCCCAACCCTCTGACATCTCCAATGTCACTCTCACCAACTGGTGTTGGTGGAAAGAAAGCCCTTATGCCACAAGAAGATTTAGAGAAGATGAATGATATAAATTATGTTTTGAGGTTCTTTTGCAAAAAATGAGTAGATTAAGAAGAAATATGAAATTCATGACATTAGAAGAAAAAGCTCCATCCAGTTGTCTTTTTCCTTGTTCTATCTAAAAATCCAACCAACAACAAACCTTCATCATTGTTTCTTCCCCCCTTTTCATATTTGATTCAACACCTAGAATGGAACAATTTAGGGATTTATGAAATTCGGTTGTGTTTAATTTTATGGTTTTGGAATTCCAATTAGGGTTTATTTGGGTGTTGATGGGATTAAGGTTTGTTTCACCAAAGTTAGATTTGTTTTCTTTGGAGATGGAGTTAAGGTTGTGGTGGTTGAGTAGATAGGAAAGAGCACGGGGGTAGGGATACAAGCTAGGTGTATTAAAGAACAGTCGTGACTATAAACAGACTCGCGACCTCTTTATTTTAGTAGGCGTCAATCTTCTTCATCTGCCCGCATTGCTTCAGTCAGGTCATCGATTCACCTTATGGTCGACTTGCTTGAATCGAAGAAGAAGAGCCCACTTGCACCAGACTGTGGACATCTCGTCCGAATTCCTTCAATCCTACCAGCCATTCCTTTCGGGACCCCGGACAAGGAGGGAATAAAGGCAAGCTTTGAAGAGTGGATTTCATTAAAAACAAGGCCTTACCAGCTTGACCGAATAGGGTGGGCACAGGTAATCCCGAATCTGAGGTCTTCTGGTCTCTGGTAAGCCTTAGGGAAACTAGAACTTCTTCGAGATGTCGAAGATGGATGTTTGAGCGGTTGAAATAGTCGGTTTTGAAAACCGAAGTATTGATAAAACAAAATAATAGAACACAAAAAGAATAAAAATGACAGAACAACCTTGAGTTAAATGGATAATTTATTAACTTGAGATAGGCAGATGGACAGATAGTGCAATAAGTTGCAACCACAGTTATCAAATCCTAATTATATTAAAACAGGGATACGATTTGTTAACTAGTGGCAGCCACATGGATCAAAAGTATACTTTACTCTAATTGCTAATAGAAAAGATCCATAATAAGAAATGGTCTTTAAGACATATGTTTTATGTGTGTATAATAAAAATATCTTATCTCTTTTTTTGCTTAAAAGGATCAGTCCTTTTAAAACCGGTTAATATATCTATACTATATTATAAAATATTTGAAAAAAACTCTTAAAAACCATATTTTATATATGAAATACTGTTTATTGATGCATATTACTTAAAATTCAAGATTACAAGTAAATTATGCGTAAGTACAACTTATTAAAAATTCATGTTTGAATTCATGTAACTAACTGCATATAAACATAATCAAATAGAGGATAAACTTATCATTTTAAATATAAAAAATCTAAAATAAAATTAAGATAATAATTAAGTTTTAACAAAATATTTAATTATTATCTTTATAAAAAATTATATTATTAAACCAAAAATTTCGAAAAAAGAATTAAAGAAATACACAAAAAACGAGAAATTTTAAATAGTTAATACTAATATCAATTTTTATGATATATCTTCACATTTATATTTTATTCAAAAATAAAAACATTATCGTTTTTTTAAAACCAAATAAAACTGTATTATAACATCGACTGAGACAAAAAAAAACATTAAAATCGAGATGTACTTCGCTGCATTATAAGAATACGCTTCTGGTATCTCTAAATATTCTACTGTTGTACCTACATATTTTTGCATAATAATGTAAATGTGTGTATGAGTAAAATAATGCTAATTCCATTCATTAAAATAGTCGTTACTTTGTGAGACTATATTTGCATAATCATAACAAGAATTATACAACATAAAATACATAAAACAAAATGCATAAGGGTCAAAATGAAAATGTTATTTAACTTTTGGCGTCATTTGGTAAATAAAGATTGCAGAAGTAGGTTAAGTGTAAATTTATTAATTTAAAAGTATTATAGGAAATTGTTGGGAAAGTGGGTTAAAAAACAATGTGCAACCAACAACGCTCGTGAGGCCACTCATCACCTTATGTTTCTTTTTCCCTTCATTTTTATAAGTAATTTTAAATCAATTTTTTTTTCTAAATATAAAAAACAAAGTCAAAGTTTGTATATCAAAAGTCAAAACCAATGGAAGACAGACTGATAAAAAGACAACTTTATCCGTACACGAGTTAATGGAAAACCAACTAAACACTCGTTTAGTTGTCTTAAATGTTCATTTGTTTCTTCTCAACGTATTTTCTTGTTTTATCTGTTTTTCTTCTTGTCGTTTTTTCTCCTTGCAATCAAACCGTCTTTAATAACATCAAATTTTTGTGCAATGCCAACGCCTCTAGCTGGGCTTTTCTTAACTTTTTTTTGTAAGCCAGGGCTGTATTTAGGAAAACAATATCTCTACTTCTTAATGCTAAAATCTGGTTTATGGACATTTTATAACACCCTAAATTATATGATTTGTATTATGGAAGCTTGATGTTTACACTTAAGAGTGATGAAATTGAAAACTTGAGTATAAAACGTAAATATTGAAGCTAAAAGTTTTTTATTGTATTCGGTATAAAAAAGTCGATAATTTATTGCTCAAGTCATTGCAGAAAAATCCCTTCGAAAAGAACGAATAGTGACCAAAAATGGTAAAACACGACGATCCCATTCTTTTAACCACATGGGTGATGCGTGATTGGTTTGAGCGTGGCTCCAAAGGTCAAAAGTATCAGGAGGTCCCAAGTTCCAATCCAATGAGGAATAAAAATCCCCTCGTGGCCACGGAGGTTCAAATACGGTGACTCCGGGCTATCAGCAAAACAGATGGTTGTCCTGTGATTAGTCGGCTTGCATAGCGAGTTGGATATTCAGGTTAATAAAAAAAAGTCGGGTGAAAAAGAGAGAAAACTGGGTCGGTTTGGGTCAATATTGGACGGACCCGGATCCTTCGCCCATCTGATTTTCTGGGCTTGGCTTATTTTTCTACTGGGCCATTATTACTGGGCCGGAATTTGTGGGCTGAAATTATATTTATTTCATTTTCAAGATACCGGCTAAATTTTTTTATTAATGGGGTATTATTTATTAGAGTAAAATTGAATTTTGGTCCTTAATGTTTACAGTTTTCAACAGATATCGACCCTGAAATACAAAAAGGCAGATTTGATCCTTTATGTTTGTTAATTCTCAAAGGTGTTTGTCTATTAATCATAAAGTTTTTCCATTAAGTCCAGTAAAAGGACGGGTATTTTAGTCATTTCACTATATTCTCAATTTTATGTTAAAATAAAAAATATATTATATTTTTGATTTGAAATTGTAAAACAAAAATAGGAAAGAAAAATGATAACCACCACTTTTTTTTTTTTTTTTTTGCGATTTCATATTAAAAATATAATATGTTTTTTTATATAATGAAAACAGTGAAAATGATTAAAATACTCCTTGATTAATTGGAATTAACGGAGAAAGTTAACAAGTATTAAAAAAAAAGGACAAAAACCGTTAAGAATTAACAAATATTAAAAAAAACAAATATGATTTTTTAAAGTTTAAGAAGAATATCCGTTGAAAATTACAAACGTTATGAACCAAAACTAAATGTTGTTCTTATTATTATGTGGAATTGTGGACTGAAAGTGTTTAAAGGTATTTAGGCTTATAAAACTGTTTTAACAGATGATCATGCTTAATTAGTAATTAATAGTGAAAGTTAATTTATTTTAACCAATTAAATGACATTATGTTAATATTTAAATAATAATATCTAGCATTTTGGTGTTCAACAGAATAGCTGTTATAAAAATCCTGACGTTAATTTGAGGAACGGTTATGTAAGAAGTTTTATAAACGTGAGAGATGAATCTATGATAAAAAAAAAAAAATTAAATTTATATATGCCACAGATACTCATTGTTGGGTTACTTACTCTATTGCTTTTAGTAATACAGAAATCGAGAATTTTACCTGTAAAAGATATAACAAATAGAGGTTGGTGACTCTTACCCGGTTAGCATTAATCGGGTAGTAAATGTTTACCAACAATTTTGTTATACCATCTCGATGGTCGTGAATTAGACCCGGTAAAATAAATGAAGTGATGAATCTTACTTGATAACTGTTTACTCTGTTAGCTTTAATAAACAACTTGTCACTCTTTAAAAAAATTAATAAGAGGTTATCCAACAGGTATTCCAAAATGCAGGAAATTGAGATTTTGGGAAACTTTGGACAATTTTTCTTTTTGTTTCAACAGATCTTCGAAATATTTCTCTAAATATAGAAAATAGGAGAGAAACTGTATAATTCTCTAACCTTTAAGAACTTTCATAAATGATTGCCATATGAAAGAAATATTTTTTAATTGTATACCAATAATAAATTACATGTTCTGTCCATGTGGTTATATGCTTTTACCGCTTCTTTTCATTTCTTGAACAATCAACAAGTCGTGTTACTATGGTTGCACTTTTACAACGAGATGAATCCTTAACGCAAGTACAAGGCCCCATTTGATTTATTTTCGGACCAAATTCATGAAAAAACTGTAACCATAGAGATCCAACTCATTAAAAAATATGCAACAAAAAGCTAATGATTTAATGGTCTAAAGTTGCACGGTGACAATTTTGTGATTATTGAGAAGTCTCGTGGCAATTTTGTGATTATAAATGTTCAGGTTGTAGATATAATTCAAGGATTTAGAATTTGTCTTACATGTCTCAGGAAAAACCTTTAATCTCATATGATCCCAAGTGTATATATATGTATGTATTTATCGAGAGTTTCCATTAAAAAAAATTGAATTCTTTTTTGTAAATGATACAAAAAGCTTAAATTGTTTGGGAAATGAGCATGAAATAATGGAGTGCGATAGCATTACCGCGTACATCAGAAAACACGTCAGATCTTCACCGTCCATTCCTTCATCAACAGCCCGTATTCATTGAAGCTTAAAAAGGTGTTACAGATGCGTAAATATCATTCCACGGCGCTAGCGTATAAATATCCCTTCTTAATCGTTCAGTCCTCTCGAAGTCAAAAAGTTTCAGACCATTCTGACTAGAATACCCCTGAACTTTTTCAATATTTCCATCCATGTCCTCCCAAAATCTCCCGATCTCAGATCCTCCGTCGTCCACCACCGGCAATGCCGCCTGGTCGTCCACCATCTCCGCCACTCCGGCCTTACGTGCCTTTCTAGCTCGCTTCACTGAATCTCTACGACGCGCCTTCGCTCGCCGTCGCCCTTGGTATGAACTGGTCGACCGGACCGCCTTCTCCAAGCCAGATTCGCTCACCGACGCCACATCTCGCATCCGCAAGAACTTCAACTACTTTCGTGTCAACTACCTGACGTTACTCTCCGCCGTGCTCGCGTTTTCTCTTCTTTCCCATCCGTTCTCTCTGCTCACAATCGTATCTCTCCTCGCCGCCTGGCTCTTCCTATACCTCTTCCGCGCTGCCGATCAACCGGTTGTTATTGGCGGCCGCACCTTCTCCGATCGAGAAATTTTAGGGATCTTAGTTCTTTTCACGGTGTTCGTTGTCTTTCTAACAAGCGTTGGTTCACTGCTCATGTCCGCTACCTTGATAGGTGTGGGCATCATCTGCGTTCACGGCGCGTTTAGAGATCCAGAAGATCTATTCCTTGACGATCAAGAGACCTCTGGCGCCGGATTGTTTTCCTCGTTCAGCGGAGCAGCAACTTCCTCCGCCGTCGCCGATGTCATGGCGCGTGTTTAAACAGATACGTTTTGATTTCCGAGATGCTAGTATCATCGATTATTCTGTCATCATTTTATAGATATTCTATCAATTTTCGTCTTGCTTGTTGTAGATTGGTGTAAGATCTGACCTAATTCATGGTCTTTCGGCTACATAATGATAGATTTGTTGCATTTGTACAAGTATTCCTGATTGATTCTTTTAATTAAATGAAAATTCGTCAATGAAGTTTGTTTAAATCTATATGTTGAATTCTACGGAAAAAATAATGATGACTAACTAGTTTTATTGTAATCTTGCTCTTCCATTCATCTCCATAAGTAATGATATTCATTTATACCAACTACCAAGATCGCCTCCGTTTATGCCTCAACACCTCCGAGGAATGCGTATGTGCCTCAAATTTGCTTGGCTTGTAGGAAATGACTTCAACTCTTATCCCAGTTTGCCAAATGCTTGATCCTTGGTTCGGCTTGTGTAGGCCTGGTTGGTGAGATCGTGTATATAATAGTGGAGTATTTAAAGCATAATTAAATTCCTATAATCTGATTTCATGACAAATACTCTGCATCTTAAAAGCAACTATTTGATGCATTTGATGATGAATCTCATAGGCATATGGTGTTCCTTGAGTGAATGTGAAGTTTGAACCCTTGTTCCGATGTTGATATATCGTATAGGCTAGACGGCGTGAGTGATTCTTTGCAACGGTGTCCTGGGATACCATAGTGGATTTGGCAGGTATGGTTCAACTCATTTACGCTGCATCTTAAGTGTGTTGAGTTGCCGAGCATGAGTCATACTCAGCTCAGGCTTGTCGAAGCCTAAACCTGACAAGCTTTTTGGGAACTAAGATCTTACCAGCTTAGAGTGATTTTAAAAAACTTCCTGCAGATTTTTGAACTTCCCCAATGTTACTGAAGCGGCCCCTAATTATCTCTTTGTTATCTTAGAATAAGATTCTGTCTTTTGAGTAGGGCAAGCGTGACGCAGTAGGAAAAAGCGGAAAGATCGACAAGGGTCTAAACTCTTAGGATAGCTAGTCTACGAGCATAGAACTCGGAAAATAAGAAAAAAAACTCTTATAAAACTAGAGATGGAACTCTAAAGGGAATTTTATTAATTAATGATAAAACTTTAAAACTGATTTCCTAAGGCTTATAAAGGTCCTATTTAGTGGCAAAAATAATATAAAAGATTGCTATGAAATCGAAACCTATACTAATTCTAAACCAACTAGGAAATGATTTAAATAATAATCAAAAGGAAACTAATAATAATCTTGATTTACTAATTAAATAAAGATTAAAGGAAAATTAGATAAAGAAAACGATAATGCTGAAATCTTCATCCATGTAGGCGTGGGTGACTAGGAGTGATCTAAGGGGCTGTTTACGCTTACCCGGTAGGTGTTTACCGGGCTATTTTCCTCACCGGACGAACATGACAAGGCCCAAGAATCTTACCTGGTATGAGCGATGATAAGGATAAAGAATCTTACCCGGTAAGTGAGGGTGACACCTCTTACCCGGGTAAGCGCTTACCAAATATATTGTTGCATACAATATCATTTTGATATACTACAATCACCTAGAAAATAAATTATATTGTTGAGTCCTAACGGTAAGCGCTTATTAGGTAAACAACCCCTAAGTCTTGTATCTAGTCGCATGAGACACTGTTTCTGGCTTTTGTTGCAGTATTCTGAGGACAAATTGGGATTCTTCCAAGGCTGTTTCCTTTTTCCCATTGAAACGTGACACAATCGGTTAATTCTTTGATTTGTCTTACATCGAAGTGTCAATTATATACCTGAATAACTTGTTCCCTTTTTCAATATCTTCATTGTGTTCTGTTTATTTGACTTAAGGAATTAGAGTGAGACTTCACAAAAATGGTAAATCAAAAACCGAGGGAAATGGTGCAAAATTGCACCGAAAGAAAGAAGACAAGCACAACCCAACCCAGAGTTGAGAACTTATTCTGTTTACTTTTGCTGCATTCTTGGTATGTCATGTTTTTGTTGCTAGATTCTAACACTTGGTTATCCCCAAACCTGCATAGACATGTTGGTTCTCCCATCAAGTCATCAAACTCTAAGCGGTTGTTTGGTTGCGGTTTAATGGGCTGTATAAGCTATACATGGCTTATACGGTCAGCCATATAAACCTGTTTGGATATGGCTTAATCAGTCGGCCAGAAGAGATGTGTCGTTTAGATTGAGCCCAAATTTTTACCCATATGCCTTTCTCTAAAACACGCTTCCAGCTTCCTTTCCTCCTTCCTCCTCCGGTCAGTCTCCTGGCTCTCCTCCTTCTGCCTCCGGTCAGTCTCCTTCCTACTCCGGTAAGTCTCCTGGCTCTCCTCCTCCCTCATCTCTATTGCCTCTTCTCCGATGCTTCTCCCTGCTGCGTTCAATCATCTGCATCTGCATCTGCATAATCTGGTGGGTTTTCGAAACATTTCTCCCCAGCTCTGGTGGGTTTTCGAATCCCCCCTCCACCTCTGTAGCATCTGGTCCTAGAATTTCGATCTGGATCCTTGGTTTCAAGAATTTCGATCGAGGTCTCCATCAACACTATCAAAATCCTAGGTCAAGACTTTCAATTTGAGCCTGCATTAGCACTTGCAAAAGTTAGGTCATTACAAAAATTTGTGTCTGCATCAGAATTTCGATATGGTCGTTGCTGTCGTTACGGTGCAAAATCTTTATATATAAAAAAGGAAAACCTTGGGGGTGTGGAGTTGGTATCATGAAAATTGAGTATTATGAAATGGTAAATTTTGGTTAAGTTTTAGTTGTCACACATTGGTGAAGATTCATAAGATTTGAACAAAGTGGTGTGTATAAGAAAGGGGATTGGATTGGATTGGATGCCTTTGTGTCGATTATAGAGTTTGACTCATAGGGTTGTCTTATTTTGAATGACTCTTTTTGAAGTCTATAATCATGGTTGAAATCAAAACATTTTAAATGGTAAAAATTATTGTGCAAAATTAAAAGTGAAACTAAGGATGACAACTTGCCAAAATGATGTTTGAGTATTACTCAAATCTTGAAATAAAGTTGACTTTCATCTTCTCACATTGATGAAAAGATGATAGTTTGGAAGAAGACGATGGCTATAATAAATGGTGATATATGCTTGAAATCTATAATTATGGTTGAAATCAAAACCAACCAAATAGTAAATTTATTTTGCAAAACACAGTTAAAATACTATGTAAAACACAAAATTCAAAACAAATTATTCATTTCACAAAATATCATTCATCTTGAAATAAGGTTGAGTTTTATCATCTCATATTAGTATAAAGATGATATTTTGGAAGAAGATGAAAGGATATACAAAGGAGTGATATTATGAGATTTGAGTATTCAAAATAATTTTATTGGTATTGAGTTTAGTTATCCACGTTGGTGAGAATATGATAAAGTAGAATGACATGAGTTTATGTGTTTTGTTATTTTGGCCCATCCTCTAAACGAAATACATTAATTATTCAACCTTGCAATTCATTATAAGCATATGGACGAATTATTTTTCATCTTAATTTAGTTATATGATTTTTAAAGAAACAATATTCGTCATCACGCAACGCTCGGTGCCAAACACTAGTCACAAATTAGACTAAAAGTTGGGTCTGCACCAGAATTTCAAACTGATACAACAACTGTTTTATGATCCTTGGGATTGGATTGGATTTGGCATCGACAACTATCTGTTTCTTATACAAGTATGAATATTTAATATATGGTACAGGTGGTAATCACTTATAACGATACTCAAAAGTAGTTTTATGATCGAAGGGAAAGAGAGACCTTCCTTTTTTATGTATGTAAACATATGTTAACTTATGACAAAGTACTTTAACATTCAATTAGTGTTTGTTGTTTTTTCAGTATTTGATGTTCACTATTTTCTATGTTAAAACATGTCGAAATTGCATGTTAATATATGTTAAAGTTTAAATGTTAACACATGTTAATATATGCTCTGGTTTATATGTACAATTACATGCATAATTATAAAAAGTTAAATATTAATATATATATTTTTCTATAATTTTTTTCTTCATATTCTTCAAATAAAAGAGTACATGATGATTAAATGAGAAACAAGATGGGGACGGAAGAATAAATACAACAAAAAGAAATGTGTTTTTGATATTTTATGAATTTATATTTTACTTATAAGGACTAACAACGGGTAGCGTATAAAAACTATAAAAGGTTATTATGTCATCCTATTCATGTAATTGAATTTATTAATTGGATAATCTTTGAAATCAATTACATTGATTCCCTTATTAATTTAAATTTAACAACTTGATATGAATTAAGTTTTATTCATTATATAATTCGTTATCACATAATGCTAAGTAAAAAATGAGTACAATAACGAAGTGGAATTAAATTTTTATAGGTTTTATCTTCCAACGATATAAAATCTCCAATTTTAATCCTTGGTATGTAGTATCTTAGCATTGGAAGTTTCAAAACTAGGAAACCATATTATAATAGAAGAGTTGTTTTCATGTTCACCTTGTAACATTTATCATTAGCTCAGAATGAATTCGTTTTCGAGATGCAAATTTTTCTCTTGCTCGAAGAGCTTGGAAAATTACATAACGATAGCTTCTTATACTATGTAAAAGAACCACTTGAGAATGTTTCCATAACACGTAAAACGTATGTATTTATACGAAAAATCATAGTGGTATATATGAGATGTTACTTGGTAGCCTCTTGAATGAAAGCATACTTTTATTAAACTAACAGACCAATTTTCATATATTCAAAGGCCCAAGCTGATGCATATATAATTTTTTTTTGACTTTAAACAACTAAAAAATTTAACAAATGTATAACTTTGAGATTTAACATAACATATATAATCTATATCAATTTTATTGAGATTCATAAGAAAAGAGAGAATACAAGAATAGATAAAATATACTTTTATTATAAAAATATAATATCAAACAAAGTTTATTAGACTTTATAAGAATCGTCCTACTAGTTATTGTAACAAAAACATTTATTGGTTGGTGTTGGTATGCAATACCCATGATGAAAGCCTTTCGCCTTACAGTTTGGCACACAATCCGAACCATCGTTACAGAATCCAATGAAGACCTCCTGTGAATGTGCTGTACATTACCGTATGCAATCAGCTTGTGTAATAACCCTCTCTTAATTACCTTGGTAATAAAAATATAAACATACAATCTTGCA